ATTGTGGCTTGAATCCAACATTTTAAACTTGTTTTGCATATTGTTTTGATTATGAGATTGATTGTAGTTGCAGAAAGTGTGCTGGAAAAAGAGCAGAAGTTTGGTGATCTTGTGCTTCAGTTGCAACCCTACATAGAGAAAGAAATAGTCTCTGAAAAGGTGCAGATTTTCATGACTCTTGATATATCCTTATATAGTTACGCTAATTTATAACCTTGCCAGGCAGCATGCAATGTCATAGCAACTGTCGCAGCACACATTATTTTTAGCAGCTTGGAATCTAGATGTATAAGTTGAAAATGCGCCTATATAGGGAGCATGGATTTTCAAAAGGCTCTAGTGTTTGTGCTAATGATGTAAATTTAAATGACAAAAAAATCATAACTTGATCAGCAGCCTTCAGATCGAATCAAATATGAACATTCTTCTTGAGGAATCCTGCTATGATGTCTTGACCATTTCTGTAAAAATTTGACCAAACTCATTTACCTTAAATCATGGCTGATACAAAGGCTACAAATTAGAGATGATTTGCAGAAAGTATATATTCAAGGAGGTATCCTCAGTCTTTTAGGGGACATGCAGTTCCAACACAACCTGCCTCTTACCCACATGTACTTGAGTTTTCATTTACTTAATGTGTGATTCTGACAATAATCATAATCATTGTTTTTTATGTGAAATTATTTATGTGGAATTATTTCCTCGTCTGTTTCTAAAACCGCTCCAGTATATGTGATTAATGGTCTAAAAATTTACATACTTGGGGCCAGCAGCACCGATCAGATCGGGTCTCTGATAGGTTGAGAAAACAAATTGGACAAACAATAGATAAGTCTTCTAACAATAAAAGAACACCAAACCTAACAATAGAGCTGTTGTACTTAAGTAGCAATCAAAAAGCAGGTTTCAACAGTGCTGTATAATACTGGATACTTGCAGAGCCAGGGGGGTCTGGTATCATTGTCATTGCCACATACCACCCCACCCCGTTCTTTCCACATGCTATTTATGTTGCAAAAATATATATATTGTTTTTGATTACAGATGGATGTATTTAGCCTGGTCAGTGCTAAAATAAATCCCAAGGTTTTTAATATGTTGCCAGAAGAAATTGAGCAAGTCCTTTCAAAGATTGCACGAGAGACTAAGATAAATTACATCGAACTGTCTGATGGATTCTGGGTATCTGGCACTTACAAGCAGATCAATGTCACCTGTTTAAAGCTCTCAGCTTGCGCAACACCCGAAGGAGCCCGCAGTAACAATGTCAGCAGCAATAGTCATGACGTAAGACAGCAAGATCGTGAGCCTGTTGTTTTGGATGTCCAACCAAAGCTGATGCATATTCTAAGTAATCATATTAAAGAGATAAAACAAAGACACAAAATGAAGATAGAACAAAAAGAGGATAAAGTAATGCTGAGTCCACNTCTTTAATTGCATTTACTTTGTTCAGGTCCATCGTCCTTCCTGCTATAAGCTCTGGAATATTTGGAGTACCTAAAGAGATTTGTGCAGAAGTCTTATTTTTGGCAGCAGAGATGTTTAGCTGTGAAGCCACCTCCCAAAATCAGCTAAGAGATATTCGTTTTGTCAACATCGACTCCCCAACCAATGATGCGTTCAGACAAGAATTCCATAAAAGATATGTGAAAAAGCAGGCCATTGATAATGGAGAACTTACAGCAAATGTTACCACTCCAGCATCTTTATCCTATCCTCCTGGTGATAGCGGAAAGCCGTTTTCGACGAGGGATGAAGAAAAGAAAGAAAATCGAGCTTCATCAAAAGGTGCATCACGAGGAAATAACAAACCGAATCCAGGAAGCTGTGCAGCCCATGCTGCAATGAAAAGAGCGGAACAATTCAAAGATGTTGAGAATGAAACACTGCCCCAAAATGAATTTAAGGATTCTGCATCAGGTTCGTCATTCGAAAGTGGATTTCAGACCCGTCAAACAACGACACACAGAGAAGATAAGAATGATATTGACAAAAGAGAGAGGGGGACTTTAGTACAAGAACTAAAAGACCACGTAAAGAAGAAATCTTCTTTAGATGGAAAGGTCGGAACAGAAAGCAAATTTCCAGATGGTCACAAATCTTCAGTTACCAATATCGCATCTCAAGGAGGAAGACCATCAAAAAATCGGGAGAAGAGCACATCTGAAATAAAAACAGGTAGAGGACGTGGAGCTATAGCTCCGAAGTTCAATAGCCCTGGCCATGCTAAAAGAGTCCTTCCCTCGAGAGAACAGACCGGCGTCTCTGCTACAGAAAAGGGCAAATCATCAACAAATTTAGATGATTCAACGGAGAAAGCTTTATTAAATTTATCATTACATCAAAACACCAACAATGGTCAAGATTCACCAACAGAAAAAGCTCAGCGCCCTTCTTTTCTTCAAGAAGAAGACGAAGGTCATCATCAACATGGGAAGAATGAGAAACATCTTTCTGATAACCAAACCGAATCTCTGAATCCAGGTACTTGCCCACCTGGTCTTGATATAACACCAGAAGGACTAAATCTTGCCGCTGAGTCATTTGCAGGCAACGACAGCTCAGCATCTTTATCACAACCAGCTGACTGTCAAGACAAGAACATGAATGAACATTGTATGAAGCGTAAAAATCCAGAAGATCCTTCAGAAAGGTCTCCAAAGTTGAGAAAGGAAGACCAACAGGAAAGTGGAGGATTACCAGATAAAAAGGAACAACCTAAAGAAGATGATAAAGGCCTTAAAAAGAGCAGTGATGATGACAGCATCAAGAAAGAAGATGAGAAAGACCGAAAACAGAGTGGTGGTGATAATAGAACGAAGCACGATGATAAAAAAGAACAGGAACAGAGCACTGGCGATGACAACACAAGGAAAGATCATAAGAAACACCAAGAACAGCTTGGTGATGCCGTCGAGAAGCAAAAGGATGAGAAAGACCAGCAACAGAGCGTTAGTGGTGAAAACACCAAGCAAGGCGATAAGAAAGACCAAGAACAAAGTAGTGGTGGTAACAAGACCCAGCAAGACCATGAGAATGACCAGGAACAGAGTTTTGGTGATGACAGAACCAAGCATCGAGACTATAAAAAAGACCAGAAACAGAGCGTTTGTGATGACAACTCCAAGCAAGAAGATGAGAAAGACCAGAAACAGAGTTCGGATGATGACAACACCATGCAAGGTGACAAGAAAGAACAGGAACAGAGCGGTGGTGATGACAACACCAAGCAAAACGATGAGAAAGACCAGAAACAGAGAGTGGATAATGACAACACCAAGCAAGGTGACAAGAAAGAACAGGAACAGAGCGGTGATGATGACAACACCATGCAAGGTGACAAGAAAGAACAGGAACAGAGCGGTGGTGATGACAACACCAAGCAAAACGATGAGAAAGACCAGAAACAGAGAGTGGATAATGACAACACCAAGCAAGGTGACAAGAAAGAACAGGAACAGAGCGGTGATGATGACAACACCATGCAAGGTGACAAGAAAGAACAGGAACAGAGCGGTGGTGATGACAACACCAAGCAAAACGATGAGAAAGACCAGAAACAGAG